GACCCAAATCAAGGATAAATTAAGAAATTTATTTATGATATGAACTTTGAAATGATTTATTGAAATAAATCATGAGAATAAATAATATGAATGAAATGTAAGAACCTTTTTGAGTAAAGGTCAATTAAATCAATTTTGACTCTGTCAAAGTCAACCACCTAAAAATATGATGTCGGAAAAAGTATTACAAATAAATATGAAAATTATATCGTTTGATAGAGTTTAATTATACGATTACAACGGTGCAAACGGATTTCAATTCGGAGAAAGTTGGACCAAAAAGTGTTCCCCGACTGGGACCAAATTAGTCCCAATCAGGGACTTACGTATAAAATCTGTCGGAGCCGCAACCCCCTCCACTGAGACGCCAAAACAGTGTTAGGGAGGTCATCTCCCATGGCTTCTTCCCCTTCCTCCTTCTTATATAAACCCTCCAAACTTCACCATTTCTTCACCATTTTCCTTCAAATAAACTCTGAGAGAAAGCTGTGAGTGTGGAGAACGAAGTTGTGCTGTCAATTTGGTGTGAAGTCGCCGGAGCAAGCTACAATCCTCGCCGGAAGTTTCGCCGGAAAATTCTCAAAACCTTCGATAAGCTTCGAGGTAAGCCCGTAGATATATCTAGTGATTAGAATGTTCGTATAGATCGTTTTTACGTTCATAAACGGTCGTTTGGTTGAGTTTTATGTTTGACATGTTTGAAGAACCAAGAATAATAAACCAAGAAATTGTTGTTAAAACTACATATTAATGACTCTAAAATGATCTGTGAACATTGGGGAACATTCCTATATAATTTAATTGAAGTTTGGTAATTAAAAATGATAGTGTTAAAAATTGAACAGAGGAAGAAGATGATGAACAGTGGCCGAAAATCGATTATTTCCTTCCTGATAATCGATTAAAATTTGTTCATATAGTCAGTATATTTAAAAATAATAATAATCGATTATTTTAATCATAAAAATCGATTTAACGTTATTAATCGATTATTTTAATTATAAAAATCGATTAATATGAATTAATTGATTATTTAAATTGTAAAAATCGATTATTATGAATTAATGGATTATTTAAATTGTAAAAATCGATTTTTTATTAATTAATCGATTATTTATATTGTAAAAATCGATTAAAATTAATTAATTGATTATTTAAATTGTAAAAATAGATTTTTAGTAATTAATGGATTATTTAAAATATAAAAATCGATTTTTAGAAATTAATTGATTATTTAAAATATAAAAATCGATTTTTAGCTATTAATTGATTATTTAAAATATAAAAATCGATTTTTAGCAATTAATTGATTATTTAAAATATAAAAATCGATTTTTAGCATTTAATTGATTATTTAAAATATAAAAATCGATTTTTAGCAATTAATTGATTATTTAAAATATAAAAATCGATTTTTAGCTATTAATGGATTATTTTAAATATAAAAATCGATTTTTAGGTATTAATTGATTATTTTTAAAAATAAAAATCGATTTTTCTTAAGTCCAGATCCTGTTCCGAAAATATTCGGAAAATATATACTCTAAAATCCACCAATTGATTTGATCATTGGAAAAATGATTTACCATAACAAAAATGATGTTTTTAACAAATAAAAATGTTATGTGATGCATGACGGTAATTGTTATTGAATATTATGTTGATTGATGATTATGGTAATGATTATTGATTGATTATTATGATGATTGAATCTTGATGAATATTCTGATTAAAAATGATAATTGTGAATGATTAAATCATAATGAATATATTGATGATTGTGAAAGTAAAATGTATTGTTAAGGGTATCTAGAAGACCTCTAAGATATACCCATATTAATGTTGATTTGAAAGGTATCTAGAAGACCTCTAAGATATATCCATATTAATGTTGATTTGAAAGGTATCTAGAAGACCTCTAAAATATACCTATTTAAGTTAGGCCTTGCGGGTATGAACCCCGGTGGCTAGGGTTAAAACGTACGTACGGGATCCAGGAACCAAACTTGAGTACCTACTCGTTTTGGGGTACCACCCACCCAACAGTGAACACTACGCTGTCGGTTTTTGGTTGGCCTTAAGTGAAGGTAAGTTTAAGATTTTCAAAACCCTTTTATCTTAAACTAGGCCTAGCTTAAGGATTATTTAGGAATATTTTATACTGGAATATAGTTTAATTATTTAAACTATAATTCGTTTCAGGGTTGACAAATATTAAAGTGATTGGCCTTAGACTAAGAATAGTTTAAGGATATTGTTGAATGTTGAATATTGAAAATTGAATATTGAATATGAATAAATATTGAATGATGAATATTGCAACTATTATGAATGACTGATGAACATTGAATGTGAATATAAGTGTTGAATAATGCATGATGAATAATTTTTAATAATTATTGATTATCTGAACTGAACATTATGTGCATGATATCAAATGATTTGATTATGAATTTAGATTCTATTTATATGGATGTTCGATGCATTAGATATGCTTACTCAGCTTCAACGCTGAGCGTGTAGTATGTTTTATTTGCTACACGCAGGTTAATGAAGTGACGTGATCCTGGAGGCAGACGGAGGCGAGATTGTCGGAATGGATGTGATGGTTTTGAATTAAAGAACATAAATAAATTATGTTTGTGATTATGATTGTTAAGCTTCCGCAATATTGAAAACTC